TTCTGCACCACAAATCCAACTTGACCAGACCCGGGATCGAACCCGGGCCGCCGCGGTGGAAAGCCAGCGACTAACCGCTTGAGCTATGGCGCGGCCCCTATATTATAGTGTAAGTTTAATTTTTAGGATCGTTAAGAATGAGGGGTGTATATCAGTTTGGGTTGCGCACAGGCCTATTTCATAAATCTGCTCTTCTCGACCTTGCATATCTTACTAGCTTTGTTCGTTCAGTGCCTGTATAAGATCTGCTCTTTCTTAAGCTTTTTGCATTCCATAGAGCTGTAACTCGAAGTAAATGTTTAATTGTGAAAGTTGATCTGTACATACGAGGAAATTCATATGAAATATCCTTCTGTATGTGAACTTGGAGCGTGCCGTAATTTTGAGATTGTCATAAATTTCATGCAAATTTTTTGTTCTTGAGGCAATAATTTATAGTTATTTCTGTTATATAATTATTAATTGAACATTCCTACTACTTCCCCTGTAAAAAGATAAAGTTGTCTCCTGTGCTTAATTAAGCACTGCTCCATGAAGGCGTAGGGGGGAGTGGATGTATAGATCCATATTTTCTTGACCTCGGCACTAGCTGGAGGTGAATGGTCAGCTTAACGCCCCTGCGTCTGTACCCCCAGGGATAGAGCTCTCGATACCCACTGGACAGGAGGCTGGATGGACCCCAGAGCCGGTCTGAACGACGTGGAGAAGAGAAAGTTCTTGACCCTACCGGTATTCGAACTCCGACACCTCGCTCGTCCAGTCCGTAGCCAGTCGCTATCCCGGCTTCTGCTACTTTCTCTGTAAAATTAAGTAAAATGTAAAGGTATCCCTGTAACAAGCCATGGAGGCCCATAGGTTTGTGAGACGTCGAGGCTCCCACATTTTCTAGACAATCGGCTCAAAGATGGCGGTAAATTTGTCAGCCTTACCTGTCGGCCGCGCTTTACTCCCCAGGAAAATTATTTAATTAATTCCTGGTACTCATTTCTGTTAGAGGCTGAGTAAACCTCAGGGCCTAGTGCAGCTGGTAGGATTAGGTCAATTGAAAAAAGTCACTGACCTCATCGGGACTTAAACCCGCTACCTCTGTGCACTCTATAATATAGTAGGCCTATAAAACTTGGTTCTGATGAATTTACTTATTTACAAGCGTGTAAGCATAGGAGGTATGATAGCTGTGGTGTCATAAGTTGCTTCTTGCCTTCATGCGCCGGGGCATTTTCAAAATCTCGGTCGCCAGACGTTAGACTGACCCTGACGCGCACCTGTTTGAGTACGGTGACGTCAGGGTGTGTACGTACTTATGCTGGGAGTGTACCGTGGCGCCGTGGTGTGCTACAGAAGCTGTATCCATGGTAACTCAGCGTAGAAGCGACGAGCCAAGTCTCAACAGACAGCTGACGCACGCGACCCGCGCTTTGCACACTCTGTACGCGTTTTATTGATCACTATGGGACGTGAAGTTCTTCGTGACAAAATGCTGTGCCGGCCGAACCCGCTGTGTGGCTCATTATCTAGTGCACAATGGCACCGTAGTGTTTTGTCTTCCTATGAAAGAAATGCATAAAGTGAATACATAAAAATGATACGTTTTCCTGTCTTCATCTTTCGTTTCAGAAACTAAATTTCAGAGAATTGTATTTGGAGTTTACGATAGAAGTTGTACAGTTTAAATTTCGGGCTCTGTCGACTTTACAAGTAGCGCAAGTGGAGCTTTCATCCAACCATTCATTCATTAATTAGTGGCTCTACAGCCCTATGTTGGGCCCTAGCCTCTTTTTCAGTTTCATATTTTTTTGTACAGTCTGTAAGACTCCTTGGACGGGGGATCAGCCCGTCACAAGACCGCTACCTACACACAGAATAAACGCACATACGGACTTCCATGACTTTAGTGGGATTCGAACCTACGATCTCAGCGTTCTAGTGAGCGAAAACAGGTCATGCCTTAGACCGCGCGGCCACTGTGATCTGAAAGTGGAGCTTTAGCCTTCAGAAATATGACAGAGTTCAGATTGGGGGCGGCAGTAAGAAATAAAAATTACAGCCACGAATAAATTAAGAGCAGCTTCAGTTCGAGGAAAGTTTGTCATTCCATTCAGGTTCGTTTGTCCTCCCGTCAGCTAAATTCTTCTCTCAAGCTGAGGGAAGAATGTAGATTGACCTGATGGGTCTTGGCCAGTTATGATATGAGAATATGAACAGGATTCAGCTGGCTCTGAATGGGATCCATTGCCGACATCTTGTGAACAAGGAAATGAAACTGCGGTGTTGCATAAAATACTCGAATTTCCTTGACCAACCGTGGGCTTCACAACAAGCAGTTAACTCCATATGAGGTAGAAAAAGAAAGTTATGCCTAAGCTTAATTAATTAAGCAACACCCCCCATGTTTTTAGAAGAAGTGCATTTTTAATTGTCACCCTGCGAGATCTGGCATTAACAACAAAATAATATCATAACCACTGAGGCGTTTTAAGTCGGAAAGAAATTTTTGGAAAATATGTTTGGAGGTCATTTTTCCTTTGTTATGAATAACTTGATTATTTCATTAGATTTGATAATAAATCATCCAGAGCGTGTTTATGGGGACGACGTGTCGATGTTGTTATGGCTCATTCGATTTCCCTCACATATTCACTTCCGTCTCCAGTGCAACTTTTTTTTTCTACTGGGGTGGGACTAAGTCCCTTGTACTGCAGCCACTTCTGGCCTATTGTACCAGCCCCAGATGATAGGTGAGGGTGATTGTGGAGCAATTGGTGGAATGAAGATTGGCAGGGCAAACCGAAGTACTTTGAGAAAACCTGTCCCAGCGCCACTTTGTCCACCACAAATCCCACTTGACTAGACCAGGGATCGAACCTGGGCCGCCGCGGTGGAAAGCCAGCGACTAACCGCATGAGCTATGGCGTGGCCATCCCGTGCAACTCACTCCGAAAGTTCTAAAATTCAAAATTCAAAATTTTAAAACTCTTAGCTCTTTTCAGTTGTATGTCCTTATTTGCCATATTTCAAACAACATGTTTCGGCTTGTTCTGACGTCACCAGGTGCGTTAGAATTGTTTGGCGAAATTGCTGCTGTTTATATACGAGTTCTGTCATGAATCCTTTCCTAACTTTGGGATTGAATCATAATTCTGAATTATATATTTTTCTGCGTAGCGTATATTTGTGACTGGTATGTACGTACATTGGCGCTGTGCGTGTTTCCTTCTGTTGTGTATTGTATAGATATTATCAAGTCTTGCGTATTTTCATTTCCAGTTACCCCGCACGTACGAATTTTGTTTCTCACACTGGACTGTATTGGAGTTTCATTTTTGTACAGCCAAAACAATTGACATGACATATTTCTCGCTATCTTGAAATTTGTGCTTAATAAATAATACGTCTATATTTTCTTCTTTGATATTATAATTGTGGGGGCACGCTGTAGCGTAGTTGATTGAGGGAATATGCTACAAGCTGGAAGGTCGCGGGTTTGATTCCCGATGAGGTCATTGGATTTTTCATTGACCTAATCCTACCAGCCGCACCATTGTCCTGGGGTCGACTCAGTCTCTAACAGAAATGAGTACCAGGGATCTTTCTGGGTGTAAAGGGCGGCCGGCACTTAAGACTGACAACCTCACCGCCGTCTGTGAGCCGATTGTCTAGAGAAAATGTGAGAACCTCAACGTCTCACAACCCTGTGGGCCTCCACGGCCTGTTACAGAGATAGGTTTACCTTTTTCTTTACCGTTAATATTATCATTTTTCCAATCACTAACATCCCTTCAATGTAGAGTGTTCTCATGCAGTCATTCTAGTGTGTTCCGAGATATGAACCCCTGTCATCCTAACACGAAGTAGTTAGTTAGTTAGTTATTGGAGAGGGTGGGTTTCCCCATGCACCTAGACATGTATTGGTCCATTGTGCTTCCCTCCATGATTTCTACCAGTCTCTATATCCTACCGGTACTGGTGCTTACCATCAGTCCCGCCCAGCCAGCGAGACCGGCTCTACTAGCTGAGAGGTATCTGTAATGCTTCCCCCATCTACCAGAGGTATTAGAGACTACTGTTGGGCGGGAAACGTCCGTAATTTGGCTCAGTGACCTCCTTTGGAGATATGAGGTTCTTTTACGTGCCGTAAAGCTATGACAGGGGACCCATGGCTTAAAGTTCCTCCCGGAGGACTTGTTCCCAGAATTTTTCCGCACTTAAAAATTCGACGACCTCCGCCGGGTATTTGAACCCGCGTACTACGGGTCATGAGGTGGGAACGTCACCTCTAGACTACGGAGACCGCTTAACACGAAGTATGTACTGCTGATTCTTTTAAGCTTACGGCCTGGACGTTTGTTTAATTGTATTTAGGACAAAACCAAAGAAGAACATAAGTTACATCGCGAGTGACGGTAATGAAGCCACACGCATATCAATAACTTCTGTTTGTTTGGAGGTCTGTGTAGCAAATTTTAGTCTTCCGATAAATTATATATTCCATTTCTTTTCGTAAAGGCAAATCCACAATCTCAGGTAGACGATTAAGATTAGGGGCGTCAGTTTTCGCAGGGACCATATTCTTAACATGGGCGTGTAAGTCACTTGCAGAATGCTTAATCACTTTATTTTGCAACCATATATTGCGATAATTTTTAAGACATCAGATAAGCCATGGGCCGATCACAGTGGCCGTGCTCTCTAAGGGATGAACGTCTTCACCTGCTCGAACACTGGCATCGTTGGTTCGAATCCCACTTGAGGTATAGATATCTATGTGCATTTATTCTGTGTTTGTATTGTTCTCTATGTAGGTAGCGGCATTGCAATGGGCTGATCCCTCCCAAGGAGTCCTACCGACTGTGCGTAGGATTTAGAAATTGAAAAAGTGGCCAAGGTCCACAAGGGCTGTGGTGCCATAGACGGATGGATAGATGGACTGACGGACTGATAAGCCATGGAATCGACTTTTGTTCCTATTAACCCTAAATCACGTCTTTTTTCCTTGCAGAGGCGATGCGTTCCTGGAGCCGTATATGCAAGGCCTTGCTCCTCCGGACTTCTCGTCCTCCCCGCACACCAGCGTCCCTACGGTCAATGCGAGCAGCGCCGAGCAGACCCCACACACCGCGACGCCGGAAGACGGCGAAAGCATCACCTCATCTCCTGTCGGCGATAACCACAACACTCTAGCAGACCTCTCTGCACAGCTCAGATTCCTCGAGCTAGATGCTAGCGCGGACAGTCTGGACCAGGTAAGGGTATTTCCATACTGCCGCTGAGGGCTTCATGCACTGGCGATGTAAGAGAGGGAAGCTGAGAGCTATGGTATACAATAGGACGCTGTTCGTGTGGTGTGCACAGAAAGAATTTAATGTAAAGGAAGAAGAAGAAACAAGCAGATAAATATTTTAATTTCATGGAGCCAAATCTTTCCTGAGAAGCTAATAGTCCCTCAGCTAGTCAAAAAATTACCCAACTTTTATTGAATTCAAGAATACTTGACCGTGTTCATAAGAACCCAGCAATTGATCCCTATCCCGTGTCAAATTAACCCATTTCACACGCTTGTAACTCATTTCTGTAAGATTCAGTTTAATATTATTTTCTCATCCATCCCTGTCAATTTTCGGACCAGTATTTTGTATTATTTCTCATGTGTGCAACTAAGCCTGTCCATCTTCCTTGATCTTGTCACATGAAACAGTAAGAATGATTGGATTTGTGCTGAAAAACATCACCCACACTCAGAAAAATTCGAACTTCTTCCTTTCGCCATAAGTTCCCTAGCTCGATTTGTAGCTTACTGATTGCTGATGTAAGTTTAAACAGTGTCTTTAGAGATATTTAACCGTAAAACTTGTCTTGGAACCGTCATGGTTCCTCGGAACGCAGTGTGAAAATCCGTGGTCATATCCGTAATCATAGTCGTCTATGCATATTTACGAATTCGTTATTCGCCGTTTGTCTCCCAACAAGAGATTTCCCGTGCTGAACCTCCTTCAGTTATCGTCTAACCCTTACGCCATACGTGGCGGTTTGGCACAATTCCTGCCTCGCTGTACCGGCAACATCTTGCGCAGTTTACCATTTTTACTTTGTCGTATACGTAATGTAGCTTTGTATGAGAAGCTCTGCGACCGTGAAAAATAAACCCGAACTACAGAGTTTGACGTGTATAAACGTCTTGAGCCGTCCAGAATGTGAAATAGTCGTCTTTGAAATACCGTCAGCCTCTGTCTGTACTTATGGATGAGCGCGTCGCTAGTGCCCGAAGGGTCGTCATAAGTCAGTGTTGATAAATATGACACAGTTCTGTCTCCAAAAATAGACGCTTTTCAAATGAGTCCCCATAAACATAAGAGTTATTTTCTCGAAAACAGCTCTAAACATTTTGAATGAATTTCGGCCATTTATGGACACCATCTCCCTAAATACAACTGCATGTGTCAGATCTTCAGGAAACGAACGAACACGAAATGTCAGTTTCCTCGAAACGGCTTGAAAGTTGCTGTATTGATTAAACTGAGTCATCTGTTCGTAGCTCACTCGGTCCAGCAGCTGACTTCAAGAACTTGGATAGCTCAGTCGGTATAGCGACCGGGCTACGGACTGGACAACCAAGGAATCTATCCCCGGTAGGCTTCTTGACCAATGAAGCCTCCTGTGTAGTCGGTACGAAGGTCTGTGTCCTGGGGCTTATACCGATCGGAGCTTGGAGCTGACCTACATTATCCATTTTCATCTTCGTGACAAGTGTTTTTTTATACACAGGGACAGCTTTACCTTTTACCAGCCGAATTTGGGGTTTCCTTATTGTTACTGCAGTGACTGCAAGCAATTCAAATAGACCACGCGGCTCTCCGTATACTTACTCCTACTTACTGTCGTCATGCGTGTCGTGTTCTCGTCTCAGTAAAAAATGAAACCCTAATAGGCTGACGCCGGTCACAGTAGCCGCGAAGTCTAAGGCATGAACTCTCTTCACTCGCTCGAACGCTGGGATCGTGGGTTCGAATCCCACCGAAAGCATAGATATCTGTATTGTGTGCATTTATTCTCTGTGCAGGTAGAGGCCTTGCGAGAGGCTGATCCCCTGTTCAAGGAGTCCTACTGACTGTGTTTAGGATCAAGGCGTAGAAAAGCGGCCAAGGCCCAACAGAGGGCTGTAGAGCAATAATAATAATAATAATAATTCAGTTTAATTCTGGTTTATCTTCGTGCAAGTAATAATAGTAAGAATTATATCATATTATAAAAATCGTTTGGGTAGAACATTCCTGGCTCCGAATACGTCAGCATCCCTGCAAACAACATCAGCATGAGGAGCAGACATTGAACAATGCAAAGTCTCTGATTATAATAATAATATTAATAATGGCCGACATTTTGTGGTGTGAGTCTGAAACCATGTAACCTGGTTCATTCTGTGTTTTTGTAGGTAGCGACCGTGCTGCGGGCTGATCCCCCATATAAGGAGCCCTAACCGACTCTCGGAATTACGAAACAAGTGAAACAAAGCGCTTTACAGATTCCCTATGCTCCAAATTGGGAGCAAAAGGAAAGAGAGAAACAGTATGATTGTGTAGTTGGAGGTACTGGGATGAGAGATTGACATGGCATTCGAGCTTCAGTTGAGGCCTCGTATGTTTGCAATTCAGAAGATGTTGACATGATTAGAGATGGGAAAACGAGAATGCATTTGATGCACGGAGTGTAACCTTTCCCCTCCCAGAAACCTATTGTAATTTGACAGTGAAACGCAGGAACAAACATCTCTTCATGTCACTGTCGGTGTGCGCGAAGTAGGCCGACCGTATTTCTACTCCGAATGGAGACGGAGTCGATGCTTCTTTTTCACTTCCGGTACCCGGTGTCATCTGTGCTGGAGCCAGCAAAATCAATCTCCTTCTCTCATGAACATCTTGTCCCTGTATTTTTGACATCTTGTACAAGAAATAATGTCATTTAATATCTGTTTGACGTTGACAAATAGGCTAGCCGTAGTGAAAACGTGAGAGAGAGAAGTTGCACAGATGTGTTCTTGAGAGGTATTGATAATTCCATGTGTACTACACTGGAGAACACGTATTTTACAAAGGCGTTCTTTGCTGTTTTGCGTCTACAGTATTGCCTTGATGTACATTTATTGTAGATACTGTGACATGTAAATCCATTGCTAGGCAACGCCCGAAACACGCAGCAAAGAATACTGGAGCAGTGTTTTCTTTGTGTCCTCCGTGTCGTCACACAGCGGTGGGTAGCGGTCACGTGATGTGTAGTCTGTAGGCCCAGTCAGCGCAGCAATGGACTGGCAATCACTTGACGTGTTGTCTGTGTTGTGTGTCAGTGCTGAATCTACATAAATTAGCAGAATTCCGAAGCTTAAGCATTAAGCTGCAGGAGTGAATAGTGGGGTTCTGAGGATCCAGGTTGTAGTGTCTTGCCGACTGGTCCGGTGCAACCCATTCATTACCTTATAAGGACGGCTGATATGTTTGTATCACTTTCGTCCTTAGTAGCAACATGACCAGACTTCTTTGGACCCTTTTGTGAAGCTTGATGATTTCGCACGTTCATTTCCATTGTTTTCAATACTAATGATATGAAGTTCTTGGGAGATAATGTAGATACCACAGAGAAAAACACAGAAACTTAACTGACGCTAGTAAGGAGGGGTTGATCTGGAAGTAAACGCAGCGAAAACTAAGTATATATTGCTGTCTCATCACCAGAATGCAGATCAAAATCGTGACATAAAGATAGCTAACAGATCCTTTGAAAATGTTGCACATTTCAGATGTTTAGGAACGACAGTAAGAAATGAAAATTTGGTAAAAGAGGAAATTAAGCGATATTGAATTCGGGTAGTGCTTGCTACTATTCAGTCCAGAAGCTTTTGTCTTGCCTGCTGTTTAAAAACGTAAAAATTAGAATACACTGAACTATAATTTTGCCTGTGGTTCTGTATTGGTGTGAAAATTGGTCTCTGACATTAAGGGAGGAACATAGACTGAGGGTGTTGAGAATATTTGGACCGAAGAAGGTTTAGATGACGGGAGGTTGGAGAAAACTCCATAATGAGGAGCTTCATAATTTATACTCTTCGTCAAGTATAAATGGAATGATCAACGTCAAGGAGGATGAGATGGGCAGGACATGCAGTACGAATGGGTGCAAAGATGAGTGCATATATGATTTTGGTGGAAGAAACAAAGAGGAAAGTCGCTAGGAAGACTTAAGACGTAGGTGGGTGGACAATATTAAAATGGATCTTAGATAGGATGGGGTGGTATGAACTGGATTGATCTGGCTCAGGATAGGGACCAGTGTAAACAGTGTGAACACGGTAATGAATCTTCGGGTTTCATAAAATGTTGGGAAATTCTTGAGTAGCTGCATAGCGGTCGGTTCTGAAGAAGGGTTCATCTGCATGGAGTTATTTCCATTGTTTGTAATGCAGGACACGCCTATCCCTGTGGGTGAGAATTGATGAGCATTTTCTCATCAAAAGAGACTTATATTTTTAGAAACCGTAATATAATCCATCTTCTTATTCATGAGTTATGCACCGCTGTGTAACTTATATTCTGTATAAAGAAAAGCTCAGAATAGAATGGAAGAAATGTGCCCACGTTGTAAGTTGCAGGAAAAATAAAGAAGTGCATAGGGAAAACGGAGGGTGGTTGTTGGGAAGGAACGGGGGTGAAATAACGGAAGTGAAAGAACATACCAGAGAGACGGGGTTGAAGTAAAAAATCAGATTGGGGCTTGTTTCCTTTTCGCTTTTTATCTTTTCAGTTCCTTTTCTCTCCATGTTCGCGTGGTGACTCACAGGGAGTACAGTGTCTTTGACACCTGCGCACAGCCCGGCTGACACTGTGCGTGTTCAGTAACACAGGGGGTTCGGGTACAAGTCTTAAAGCCTACTTTCCTGTTGTATTTCTACAAATCCGTTGTTGTTAGTGTCTTATTTACATAATGTTAGGCCATAATCCAACAACATAAGATTGCTGAACTCGTGCGCAAATGGATATGAGATCAAAACTCAGTGGAATCTAATTTTTATTTCTTGCAAATGTAAGTATGTTACAAGCTGTTGTTATCGTCGTCATAATTATTATTATTTATTTATTTTAAAAAAAAAGCTTGTGAAGTACAGATTCTCTCTATGTTAAAGTTTTTGGATATATCCTCCGAAGTTCACATCGTCGTCATATTTGTAATTTCCTACTGACAAATGTTGTTTACCTCC